TACAGGCATGAACCACCATGCCTGGCCCGAGAGGCCATTTTTTATGGTGAGGGAGGGACCATACCTAAGTGACAAGGGCTGGAGCTAAGGACAAAGCCCAGGAAGCTTAACTCAGGACTGGTGGGGCCCAAGCAAACCACCTCCCCAGCTACCTTGTCCTGTTCAGCAGCTGTCATCTCCATCTCAAGGCAGTGCCTACCTTCATCACAGATTATCCCCCGGGCAGTTTCTTCTGTAGAGCTCTATCTAGTATTAAATTTTCGGGTGCTGCTTGTTGAGGGCAGGGGCTATATGTTTGGCTCATGGTAGACCTGGGAGGTGTAACAGGGTAGACCTGCCACTTCCTCCCTCTGTCATCCCCAAAGCCTGGTGGGCACTGATCACAGAGAGACACCTGTGGGCTGCAGCCTGCCCTTTAGAACCATGGAACCCTGTGCACCCTGCACCACAGCAGGAAGCCTGGCCTTAAAAACACCAGGCTTTTGGGTTATGCTCTCCTGACTCCATGGCCCCAGGACACTGTGCCCACTCAGCCCATTGCTCATGTCTCTGGTCCTTGCTTGCCAGCAACAGAGCCTGAGTATTCCAAGAGGGTCAGAGGGGAGGACAGGTGGCTCTGCTACACCCAGGTCTTTCTGAGGGACAGATCCAGGCTGTGAGGCCAGCCCAGGCCTCTGGGGGTGGCCAAATGCCATCCCCTCACCTGCTCCCCTCTGCCCCAAGGAGCAGCTCCTTTATCAGGAGGCTGAGCTGGAGGCTGGCTGTGAGCTGTGTGTGGTGGGAGGAAGTACCAGCTGTTCCCCTCGGCGTGCTCCCCATAGCATGTCACTGCGTCTGAAACTGCTCATCGCAGTCCACTCCTCTGAGGAATGGCACTTTAGTTTCCTACTTCAAAGAGCAAACATGGCAGGTGGGACTGGCAGACTGTCAGCCAGCATCCCACACGTCTACATGGTTATCCCAGCAGTGCCAGTGTACCCCGAAAGCTTGCTTGGAGATCACTTGGTGTCAGCTGGATCCCAGCTAGAAACAACAAAGACAGTTTGAGGACAACTGAGGAAATTTGAATACAGACTGTAAGATATTATTGAATGAATGTTAATTTTCTCAAGTGTGGTAATGGTTTTCGGCCAATAGAGAAGAACACTCTTATCCTGGTGAGGTACTGATGCCTGCAACTTCAAATTGTTCCACCAAATACACATAAAAGCATCAAGCAAATACAGCAAAAACTATGGGTAACCGTTGAATGGAGGTGGGGGTTATGTGAGTGATCGTCTAACTTTTTTTGGTGCGTGTTTGAAAATGATCATAATAAAAAATTATGGGCAAAATCTCCTGAATAACTTGTTTAAAATTCCAGTTTAAACTGAAAACTGAGAATTTAAACTCCAACTCCCTTCCTGCCCACCCCCTCCCGGGGCCTGTGGCTCGGAATGAACTTCTGAACAAGATCCCCCAAGTGTTCCTGGAGCAGGTACCCCTTGGAAGCCACTGAGAGACCCTGCTCATAGCTCCCAAAGTCCCAGTCCCAGGGCAGCCTAGTTCTGGAGAGGTCAGTGGTCATCTGGGTGAAAGCAACCATGCTAAGTAGTGCAGGGAGCACCATGCCCAGGCCCTTGGGTGCTCTGGTTCCCTTCTGCTGCTCTCATCCCTACTGGGGGTGGCACTGTCCACCCAGCATAGGGCGCCCTGCTGCCCCAGCTCTGGCCACGCCACACCTCCACCCTCATGCTGCAGCAACTTCAACCACTTAAACATGGTGCTGTGTCCCACCTCCTGGTCTTTGCTTAGACCGTCTCTTCTTTTTTCTTTTTTTTTTAAATTTATTTTTTATTAGATCATAATTGTGTACATTAATTCTATCATAGGATACAGTGTGTTGCTTCCATATGCAGTTTGGAAATGAGAGTTTTGGAACTCTCATCCAACTGGCTAACATAGCCATCATGTCTTTCTCATAATTGTTGTGTAAAGACATTTATATTCAACCTTTAGACAAATTCACATGTACCCTAATAGGATAAATTATAGGCGAGATCCCCACAATATCATTCTCTTCACCCATCCTCCCCCTTCCCCTCCCCCCCTTCCACTAGACCGTCTCTTCTTGCTTTCCTCCGGAGCTCTACTCTTCTCCCATGGCCTCTCCCACTTACACAGCCAATATGTACCAGCTCCACATACCCTCCTCCAGGAAGTCTTTCCAAGATGGGAAGTTAACTATCCCTTTCAGGTGCTGCTGTGGTACCCGTAGCTATCTCCACTGTGGCCCTGATGGGGTCCCACCAGCTGATGGGGTTTCCACTTACTGTGCCACTCACTAGCCCAAGGACTTCTGGAGAGTCTCACTGGTGCTGATCCAAGTGTTCCAGTCCAAGCACCATGTAGAGCTGTACAGGCTGGTCTCTCACAGGCACATGGGGGCTGGGGCTAGTTCTGGCTGATGAACTATAACCATTAATGAGAGGCCCTCCAGAACTTTCTTTTAACCTCCAGCTCACCAATTGACATTAGGGATGGTGGATCCCTGGGAGCCAGTCCCAAGTAATAATAGTGAGTAAAAGCTTCCTGTAGATCTGTGATGGGCACATAGCTACAGTGAGAAATAAACCCTTATTGTTTTCAGCTCCTGTGAAGTGGGGTTTGTTTATTATCACAGCATTACCCATCCCACTCTGATACAGATGCCTTATTCATATTTGTATCCCTAAACACCTAGCCCAATTGCCAGCACAAAGCAAATACATAAGATGTAATTCCTATCACAGTTTTACTTGGCTGTGAAACTGACCTCAAAGCCCTGGCAGATGTTCCAATACACACCACTCCCATGTCCTTAACTTCTTCCCTGGTCATACAGGACTCTCCATTGAGATGCCCCAAAGTGTCCCCATACAAGGAAGTACAAACGCCACCTATTATGACCTGTGAATAGGTCAGAGAGGCCCCTAGAGGGATCCCAAAGTAACCATGAGCTGCCATCACTTGCTTGCCCTTTGTGACAATCACTCATCTCCCTGGAAAAAGCATCACGGCCTCTTTTAACAAAAACATTTATTTTTCATGATTATGGGTACATAATTGTTTGCAGGGTATGTGTGATGTTTTGATACATGCATGCAATGTGTAATGATCTAACCAGGAGTATATCCTTCACCTCAAGTATTTTATCATTTGTTAGTAACATTTCAATTCCACTCTTAAATTGTAAAATACACAATAAATTATTGTTAATTATAGTCTCCTTATTTTGCTACTGAATACTAGATCTTATTCATTCTAACTGACTGTATTTTCTTTTACCCATTTACCATCCCCACTTTATCCCTCCGCTTCCCCACCCTTCCAAGGGTAACCATCATTCTACTTTTATCTCCACAAGTTCAGATTTTTGGGCTCCCACATGTGAGTGAGAACATATTTATCTTCCTTTGCCTGGCTTATTTCACTTACTGTAATGTTCTCCTCCGGTTCCATCTACTGGTTGTTGCAAATGACAGGATTTCATTCTTTTCATGGCTAATATTCCATTGTGTGTATGTACTCCATTTGCATTATCCATTCATCTATTCATGGGTACTTAGGTTGATTCCATTTCTTGGTTTTTCTGAATAGTGCTGCAGTAAATATGGGTGCAGATATCTGTCTGATAGACTGACGTCCTTTCTTTTGGTCATATACACAGCAGTGGAATTGCCGGATCACATGGTAGCTTTAATTTTAGTTTTTTGAGGAGCTTCCGTACTGTTTGTTTTCCATAGTGGCCACGCTGATTTACATTCCTACTGACAGCATGAGAGGGTTCTCCTTTCTGCACATCCTTGCCAGCATTCCTTATTGCTTGTCTTTAGAATAAAAGCCATTTTAACTAGGGGGAGACGATGGCTCATTCACGGCCTCTTTATTCCCCTGACCTGTTGTCCTTTCTTCTTGCTAGCTCACTAGGATCCCAAGCAAGCCTCTTCCCTTTCTCTTGAGGACCAAGGCCTGCAGAGGCTAAAATGAACAACACATTCACAGTGGAGTGTAAACAGGGAAGGTAGTGCCTCTCAAAACCAACCTGGCCAGACTTGAGCAAATGGGGCAAAACTGCTAGCGCTTTTGGACTTTGTACATCCTGAGAGGTTCCAGGTCAGGGGCCTCTGCTGGGACCCTCCAGCCTAGACCTCGCCTCAGCTCTTTCAGCTTTCAGTCCCTGAGACAGTGGTTACCAGATACCACTGCAGAGGGTGTGAGGCAGTAAAAATCCCAGGAAGCGGGGGCTCCAGGCCTCTCCCTGGTTATGAGTTTCCAGGATTTGATATTCCTCTGACCACAGCTTTGCTCAGCTGCAGCTCAGGGCTTGCTCTCTGGCACCCTCTGATCTCTGTGGGGGCCATACTCAATCAAGAGCTCTCTGCACATGCAAAGGTCACTCTGCAAGGAGGGGCCTAGGGAGCCCCTTATGTCTGCAGATGGCTTGGTACTTTCTAAAACCCTTTCACATCCACTGTGTCCTCAGATCTTGACAATCCTACCAGGCAGGAGGGAAGAATATTGTTATCTATGTTCAAAAGCAGATGAACTGACACAGAGGTGAAAAAAATGTGTTCCCATCTACCTGGCAAGTCAGTGACAGAGCAGAACAAAGACTGGGCCTCCAGGCCCTATGACCAGTTTCCTGTCTGCTTTACTATGGTGTTCTACTTAAGAAAGGGTGAGAGGGGCATTTCCTGACGTTTCATGCTGAAGTCATGCATGCGCATGCATGTGCACATACATATATTCATACTCTATCAAAATACAGGGCCCGTGAGCATAATATATGGTGGCTCCGTGACAGACATCCTCATAGGAGATTAGAAGAGCTTGTGTGAGCAGGGTCTTGATCACTGTGAAGGGTCACCCTGATGAGTGCTGCCCAAGTGTCTGGGAACCAGCAAGGGCTGTAGCAGCTAAGCTTGGATTCTGCCTTCACTCCTCACGGTGCACAAGTGGATATGGGTGGCTGAGGTTCCTCACGGTGAGCACACAGCTGCTGGTGGACCCTGGGGGTTCATCTGGCTCAAATTTTCATAATTGGACTCCTGAGCCTGGGGCCTGCAGACAGGAGAAAGTTGACTGACTACCCAGTGCAGGGAGAGGTCCCCGACTGCCCAAGGATACCCCAGCATAGGGCCACTGGGGGGCAGGGCATGGAGACTGACAATGTCAAAGGCAGGGAAAAAGAACAGGGATGGAGCTACTGTTGGTGACAGCAGCCCAGACTGTCTGAAGCTTCAAAACCATCTCAGTGTCCCTGACCCCCAGATGCACATTTCCAGGCCAGACCTCCTCATCCCTAGCTGCTGTCCTGCCTTCTACTCTGAGACATCTCAACAGGCATCTCAGATCTCAATGTCCTCCAGGACTACACATGATCCTCACTGCAGTTCTCACCCTCATCTTTATCTCAATAATTAGCACCTAAGGCTCAAGCTTCAGACCTGGGCAGCCTGGCCATGTCCCACACAGTGGGCTGCCCACCCAGTCCTGTGTGGAGCCTGGCCTCTCATCTCCCCACTCGGCTACTGTGCTTTCATCCAAGCATGCACACCAGTCTCAGCCAGCAGCCTCTTCCCAGGTCTCCTGGCCCCTGCTTATTCAAGTGACAGGGCCACTCACCTACCTGCTTGAAACCACTTGGCATCTTCCCATCACACCCAGAATAACCAGGTATCACTGGAGACTTTCTACTTGACTGTCCCCTTCTTTGGGCCTCTGTCCTCCCTACCCACTATTCCAGCATCCGTCTGCAGGTCCCCTCAAGGTCACATCCCAAGGAAAAGCTTCCTCTATAGAGACACAACCCAGGGGATGGCTCCCTCCTCACCTAGAATGACTTTGTGTATTTATCAAAATTCTCTACATGTGTTCTGTGAGGTCAGGGACTTTGCTATATCTTTAGCATCCAAACCAGTGCGTGGTGCATAGTAGGTCTTCAAATATTTATTAAATGACTGAACAATAGTTGTCCTTCTGATTCAGGGGCCTTGGTATGGCAGTAAATTAGCAAAGAAAAGAGACATGGGCCAGGTTGTGAGACAGAGGGAGATGGTGGAGCCAGCAGCTAGAGAAAGGGGCTACCAGGTAGTACCGCTTGTCCAGCCCTTGGGGCACAGGTGGGAGCAGTTATGGGAGTCCCCAGCTCTTCAAATGGACTCTGAAGGCTGTAGTCCTCCCAACCGCACCCCAAATCCCAGCCAGGGTCTGCGAATCTGATTCTTTCTTGGCCCTTCCCTTCAGTGGACACTACAGATGAAAAAGTCATGGACCCGACAAAGACTTCCTAGTCAGGGTCCCTGGGCCTGTCATCTAGGCCTCAGAACCTCTGGAGATTTTGTTTTCAGTCCTTCAGCAGAATGCCTGGGGGAAGGAGTGACCCTAAGTTGGCTTTTGTGTGGGTTTGCCTGTCCACGAATGTGGTGGGAGGATTGCAAGAGGAGACACAGCCCAGAGGTGTGAAGATAGGACAGAAAAATTACCCTTCCAAGGGGGCTGGGAGTGTGTGTGCGACTTGGTGGCCTGAGGGAGGGGGTGCTTTGGCAGCTGCAAGGAGGGCCTAGACCCTGCCCAAAGCCAGGACCCCTGCCCCAGCCGTGTGCCGGATCCCCCCCTCCCCCCGCCCGTTGCCACCCTGAGAAACCTGCCTGCACTCTTTGGGGGAAGGGGACTAGATGGGGTGGGGTGGAGGCAGGGGAGCTCACTTACCGTTGTGGGGTGTCCTGAGTGACCGGGTGCTCTGTAGGAGGGACAGAGAAGGAGGTGGTGTCACTCTCCATTGCAGTGTCCAGCCTGTGTGCCCTGCCTCCCATCCACCCTGCTGTGGAAAGGGCTCTCAGGGAAACCACTCCTTGTGCAACAGTAAATTAGCAGGGTGTGAAGAAGCGACACTGAAGCCTTGAATAGAGTGAGAGAGGAGGGTGGACTGAACAGGCCACCAGTAGAAGCTGCTTTTCTGAGGACCCTGAAGCACAACATGCCTGGTGAGTTTGGAGAGCCAGCAAGAAAGCTAGTGTGGCCACCGGAAGGGAGCAGCTAAGGAACCATGATAAATGCTGGATTTCCTCACTGGGGTTGGAGACTAGTGCTATGGACCTGGATGGTCTGTCTCTGGGAAGCCCCCTCCCAATATGGGGCCGAGAGAACATTTCCTGCCCTGCCCAGTAGCTGCTGAGCTTTTGCACATGCTGTTCCCTCTGCTTGGAACCCCACTGCCCTTGCTTGCCTAGCTCATGCCTGCTTGAAGTTTTTGATTTAACTATCACCTTATTTCCAGCAGAAAGCTTCTCCAGACACCTGGCCTGAGTGAGACATACCTCCCTGCTTTCTGCAGTGCCTGGGATCTAAGAGAGCACTGTCTTACAGCCCCTGGAAATTCTGTGTACTCCCCAGCTCCCGCTGGAGGGCAGGAAAACAGGTGCTACCCAGCTGTGTATTCCTAGCACCTATACGACCTCAGGATGTTGGCCACAAGGCCTTACCCAAGAGAAGAGCCCCGCCTGCCCCTCCCGCCATCCCGGGCCCCGCGCACCCACCTTCACGGCTGCGGGCGGCACAGGTGGCCAGGATGCCCAGCAGCAGCAGCGCCTTGAGGCCAAGCGCGCCTAGCAGGACCGCGATAGCCGAGGCCCCGGCAGCGCCGCGGAAGCGGAACAAGTATACGCTGGCCTCCGCACGGCCTAGGCTGTTGGCAGCTGTACATGTGTAGCGGCCGTCGTGGATCAGCGCCGGCAGCTCGGCGGTCACCTGGTGGCTGAGACCTTGAGAGGGACTCGGCACAGCCGCCGACCCGTTGCGCAGGGCTGGGCCGGACCAGGCGAGGGCGGGCTGTGGCTCCCCTTCAGCGGTGCAGAGAGCGCGGAAGGCGTGCGCCGGGCCGGGCAGCACCGAGATATTGACGATCCGTGGAGCAGCTGCGGGGCGGGGGAGAAGACTAGTGACAGTCACCTAGCCGCCTTTAAGGTGGGGTTGGGGGTGAGGAGGGCAGGAAAGCTGGCTGCTGTGCGCGGCAAAGGCAAGGGACACCCCCCAAACCCCGGCCGTCTGTATGGGAGAGCTGGACGGATTGGGGGTGGGGAGGCTCAGAAGAAAGAGATGGGCACTTGGGTGCCAAGCTGTCTGGATTTCAATCCACGTGAGAACTTGGGCAAGGTCTCAGGATCTTAGATCCCAGGTACTGCGATTGTATCATTCTCTGCCTTAGTTTCTCCATGTGTAAAATGGGGATCATAACAGCACTCACCTTATGGGGCGGTTGTTGGGAAAATATGACAAATTAATACTTGTGGGGTCTTTGGACCAGGGCCTGGGCCCAGCCGAAGAGCTCACTGGGTGGTCCTTATTGTTGTAGAGCAGGAGTGGAGCTGGAGAGAACCATTGCTCTGGGGACCAGGACTGTTTCAGGCATCTGCGCTAGCAAAGTGCTGGGCGCTTGGTGGGCTCCCTGTGCACTCCCCGGGGCTGCGAATGTCTTCCAGGGCAGGAACCCCCGCCCCCCGCCCCCATTGCAGTCCTTGCCATATTTAGGATTACCGTCACCATGTCTTAATCTCCCCTCCATCCCAAGCTCCTGGGACGCATTCCTATTCCCGCGCCCCACCCGGCCCTTCTTGGGGCCAGGATTCTGCATTTTTACCAAGTTCCCAGGTGGTCCTAACCCACCCTCCGGTGGAAGACCCCTGGGAGAAGTGTTGGGTCCTGTCGCCCTTCCCAGCTAGCCACAGGGGCTGGGCCTGGGTAGGCGGGAAGGGAGGAAAGAGTCCCCGTGCCGGCTCACCGGTCACGTGCAGCCGGACGCCATGGCGGCTTTCGTAGCGGTCCTGGACGTCGCCGGTGAACTCGACTCGGCAGAAGTAGCGGCCGTCGTCGGCCAGGGCGAGGCGCTCGATGCGCAGCGACAGGTCGTTGCGGCGCGGGTTGCCCAGCAGTCGGAATCGGCCGTGCAGGCTCAGCGCCGTCTGGCAGAGCTCGCTGCCCCGCGCAGCCGCGCACCGGAACACCTGCGGGCCCGAGTACGGCTCTCGCGCGCGCCAGATGGCGGTCAGCGGCCCGTCGTAGTGGCGGTGCGGGTGCGTGAAGGTGCAGGGTAGCATGACCGCGTCGCCGGCCCTCGCGCTGACCTCGGCCGGCACCTGCATGGACCAGCGCTGTGCGGTCTCACCTGTGGGCAGGTGGAACGGGGAGGTGGGCGGGAGGCGTGTGAGTTCTTGGCCCCCAACTCCACAGCACCCCCAGCTGAGCGGCTAGAACCACAAGACTCAGGCAGAGCCTGGGGCCTGGAAGCTCAGAAGTCAGAAATATCCTCTTCCCATACACAACCAGGGGGCTGGAATCCCACCTGGTGACTTGGGAGACAATCTCCCCGGCCTGCATTGGTGTCTGGACTCTCCCCCTTGTTCCTAGGAACTATCTGCCTCTTTCATGTGAGTCCAGCCTCAGCTACAGGCTAGTGACCCCATGCTCTTCCCCTTAGCTTTTTCCCATCAAAACCTGCCCTGCTGTGGAAAAACCCAGGTATCCCATGGTTACAGTACTGTCCTCAGATCCCCAAGGTGGTGATCATAATAAAAACACTTACTGTGTACCTCTGTGTTGAGCAAGTTCTCTGTAGTATCTCTTTTCGTTTTCACAAAAGAGCCTGGAGGTAAAGCATAGTTTATACCCTGTTACATGTTAATAAACTGAGGCACAGAAAAGTTCAGTAATTGCTTAAGGTCACACAGCTAGGATGAAGCCAAGCCAGGATTCCGACTTAGGATTGCTCCAGTCTGCAGCCCCCACCGCAGTGCACTAGTGAGACCTTGTGTCTCCAACATTCCCACCTACAGAGAGGAAACTGAGGCTCTGGGAAGGCACAGTAGGTTTTGAAGCTGATGTGTTGAGTTGGTGGGTTGGTAGAGGAGATTCCTCTAGAATCCAGGTCAACCCAAGTGGACTGTGCCCTGACTGACTTCCCCAAAGGTTAGTGGTGGGGCAGGCAGCCAAGGGACAGAGTGGTGAGCTGTTGTGCTGCCTCCTTGCTCTGTGCCAGTTTTGCTCTGTGCCTCCTTGATTCTGGACTCAGTTTTCCCAGTCTGGAAACTGAGCTCTGCTTCCATGTGCTATGCCACATGAGTGTGGCTTTGGGGACAAGTGGGGGGTGGTTGGAGAGCCTCCTCTGTGATTAGCAGGATCAGGCCTGGCTGGTGCCTCCCCCAAGGAGGGAGAGTGGCTGCTAAGCCTGCTCAGCCAGTGCCCCCAGGGCACAATTCACAAAAGCATCTTTAAATGGAATAGTGTAGCCCTTGTATTTCCAAAGGGCTTTGCAATTTACACAGTTCTTTTATATACACTATGTCAGGTGACTTTCAAAACACCCAGGGGGAGAAAGGCAGGGTAGATCCTGTCCTAGTTAAGAAAATAAGGGCCCTGAACACACAGGTAGACATGGGAGGAACTCAGCTTTTCTGACTCCAAACCTAGTGCTCTTTGCCCTTTGAGGTGATTTAGCCCAATTCACTCTTTGGACAGGAATCCCTTCAGCTCACTGCCAACCATGCTCCATAGAGCCCATCCATCTGTGAATAAACTACTGGTCACGACATTCCTCCCACACCGAACCAGCCTCTCCAGCCACCCATAGGACTGCCACTGCTCTTTGGGGCATGTACATCCTCTCCCCAGATGGCCCTCCTACAATCCCACTGTGGCTCTCCTAGACCCGAGAAGCCTTCCCTTTTCTGGTGGAAAAATTCTAGTCCTTTACTTGCCACTTCTCAGTCTGACTGTCCTCTTCCTTCAGTGTAGTGTCCTGAGCCAGGTGGCTCCAGGGGTGTGTTTCAGGAGTGCTTCACCTGCACAGTGTTGTGTCCCACAGTGCTGCCCTGGGTCCCACTTGGGCTCATGCCTAACTTGCCATCAAGGAAGGCCATGAATTCTTTTTAAATACAACCTGCTTTTAAGCCTAAATGTCTTTTCTTCTGGACAAGTGAAGTGATGCTTTTGTACCCAAGTGGAGGACTTAACACTTAGCTTTAGAAAAATGTTGTTTGCTCAGTCATCAATTACCAAAGGGCCTAGTTCAAATTTGGAAAACCTGTCTGATGGTTTTGCTAGTTCAGTCAGTTCTTCTTGCTGCAAAAAATGTCTCCCCAATCTTGAGACTCAGCCTCTGACTCAGTTTCTCTGCTACTTCCCACCCTCTGTGATCTCAGCCTCCTCTGACCTCCTGAATCATGTAGGCATCATGGAGCCAGGCACTGATTCCCCAGGTATTCATTAATTCAGCAAACATTTATCGAATACTTCCCCATGATGCCAGGTACCGAGAAATGAACTGTGGTGACAAAGGTGGACAGATCTGAGCTGGGAGCTCCATCAGCCTGCTGGAGCTCCCAGCTCAGATATGGAGACAGACTTGTGAACACATAATTACACCACAGTCCACCAGGTGCTCTAATGATGGACATGGCTCCTGGCCTCTTTTCACACACCAGCTCCCTCTTATTCATCTCCAGATCTCCTCCAAGCCTTCCCTGTGGCCGGGGGACCTTCCTAAGCCACAAGCCTGTGTCTGGACTTCTTATATAACTGTATGTCTTGCTCAGATACCCAGGAGCTCTGGGAGGACCAGGATGTGTCTATGTGGTTCTATTTGTGTTGCTATTGCCCAGCACAGTGCCTGCCACCTACAGACGTATGTCAGATTGACTTGCTACATGAGAACAGAAGGGAGGGTGGGTAGAGAGAAGTGTGCTGTGAATAGGCAGGCAGGGATTGGAGACCCCCTAGGAGAGGAGATGCTGCTTTAGCAGAGCCTTGCGAGAGGAGGGGGATTTCGCTAGAGGTGGCATTCCAGGCAAAGGGAACAGCAGAGCAAAGCCTCAAGGCATGGGCAGCTGCATAAAGATTGCAGGGCATGGTGGGATAAGGAGGCTACGGCACGTGGTGCTTTGGGGAATGGTTGGGAAACATTTCTCATTTCATTTAAATCATACATCTCCATGAAGTGCTATCATTAGCCCCTTTTTAGAGAAGGCGTATCTGGGGCTTGCACAGCCCAGGTGACTTAGCTAAGTCATTTTACCAACCAGTAGCAGAGCCAAGGCTTAATCCTGGGTAGTTCTTCCTCCTTTGTTCAGGATTTTGACCTTAACTTGTATGTTCAATCGCTCAAGGATAACGGCCATGTCTGAAAACATCCTGATGTGTGAAGCACTTCACACCAGCCCCTCCCTCCCAGGATGGGTTTCACTTGAGGAGCAGAAAGGAAACACAGAGGTCCTTTCACCATGGGTTATGATCCTGGCTCCCAGTGGAAGGAGAGATGTGCTGCTTCCTGTTTATCTGAAATGGATTTTAAAAAGTAGGACTTGGACTCCCTTTCACACAGAGACCTTTGAGTGTCCAGCAGACTCCAGGTGAAGGTGGAATTGGCCAGGGAACAAATGCATTTGCTTCAGCAAGAATCTAAGCTCCCCAATATCCTGGGACACTTCCCATTCCAACTGGTGGCTAAAGTGACCTTGGACTAAGACATGAAAGAATGGGGAGGGATGATTCCTAAACTGGAACCATGGCTCCTTACTGTGGGCTCTCTAATATCTCTGACTCCTGTCTGTTAACCTCTAGGGGTTAAGAGGAGGTACACATTCTTCCTGTTATCCAAATACCTCCTCTCAATGGTGGGCCACAGGGTATGGTGAAAAGCATGCTGGCTTTGGCCCAGCCAGACTAGATTACAATCCACTTCTGATCATTCTTTCATCAGACTTTAACCAAGCACCCAGTCTGTGCCTGGAACCATCCTAGGCTCCTTGCATACTGGGTGATCTTTGGGCCAGTTACTAAACATCCCAGGTCTCAGGCTCCTCCGCTACCCAAGGGGAACATAATACTGTCCTCATAGGAGTGAATGAACCACATGTGTAGAGCACCCTGCACAGTGCCTGACTTGCAGCAAATGCTCCCTACATGTTGGTTCCCTCCCCCAGCCCTACCAAGTAGTGGTGGAGAAGTCCTCTGGGTGGTGCAGCAGGGGTTAAGCATTCCCTCACAAAGCACCATTTGCAGCTCAATTTGGCATCTTAGACCACTGAAGTACAGAAGCCCGGTCCTCATGCTCAACTCACTACGAAGCTAGTCTTTTATTTATTTATTTGCTGATAGGTATTTATTGAGAGTTTATCATGGGCTAGAATCTTCACTGGATATCAGGGATACAGTTGCAGTGACAAATTAGTAACTCTCTTCAGTGTGTCAACAAGTCTGGTCATTGCTAAGCCACTATTTGCTTTTTAATTTATACAGAATTCTAACAAGTTTATTTAGTTTCTGCCTAGGGTAATGAAAATCAAAAAGCTGGAAAGTGGTTTCTTTTGGTAGGCCTGTTGAAATCAGCAAGAAATGACAGTTGACATTCAGGAAGGAAAAGCTCAGTAAAAATAATGGAAAGAAGCTCAGGATAGAAATTATAAGAGTCCAATGTCAAAGGGACCATTCGGAGAAGTAGTGAACCCAGAGAGCCCTGAGCCTTTATGACATTGCACCAGGCCCATGTAACCTGTGTACAAAGAGATGACCCGAGTTACCATGGAAAGGCTTGTTGCCATGGGAGATACCCTGTTTTAATAGTGTGCTCCTCAGATAAGGTGTCGGGAGTTAGTCTGAGGTTCTGGCTCTGGCTCTGGCTCTGATGCTGACTTTGGGACCTTAGGCGAGTTCCCAGCACACTTGGGTCTGAGTAGGCCATCCTTAAGATTATACCTCTAGATGTTAACTGAGGTGACCTTTAAGTTTAAAGATCTATGTTTGAAAAATGATATTTGGATTAAGGTGACAAGGAAGCACATAAAACATTCTAGAAATATGTCTGGCTAAAGTAAACTAATAAACTTTTAGGTATTTAAAAATAAGCCAATAGCTATTTAGAAAACCCAGCTACTTGGAAAGATGCATGCACCTCTTGAAGGTCCTTCCTCAGCATTTACTAAAATCTGGAGAATGCTCTCCTCATACTTCCTTGAGGGGAAATGTCTGAAGGACAAAGGGCTGGGTCCATTGCATGGGGCATCAGCTCCATATCCTCGTAATCGCCCTCCACTAGGGAGGAGCTAACTAACTCCAGACCAATAGCCCAGAGCCCCATGCCCATGGTGAAGGGCGGGGAAGGGACATTAGGGAGGCAGGAACACAGTTGTGGGACCTGGCTGAACACGAATAGAAACAGAAATCTTGCTTTGGCCAAAGCTGACCAAAGATTGCCAGCAGTTCCTTGGTGAGGAAGCAGGGATTTTCACTGGACCTCTGTGCAGATCATTTCCAGGGTGCTGTAGTGTTGTGTACTATTGTACTTCTGTTAACTCTAGAGAAAACTGCTGATCAGTTTCAGGCAGAGCCTGGGTCTCTTGCTGTCTGTGGATCTGTCAATGTCTTTATATGCTTGGAATTACAGGGTGTCGCAGCTAGGATAGTGAACCAGGAGTGACCATGATGAGACAGTGTCCAGAGAGGATGCCCTCACACAATGGCAATTTAACAGGTACTAGGTCTGCTGGAGTGGACTTTCTGTGATAGTTTTTTGGAGAGAGCAAGTTCTGGATTTTGAGGGGGGCAGGATGATGCCAGGTGGGCAGCCATTACGGGCAGACCATGCCTCCTGCAGGGATAGCATCACGCCACTGAGAGCTGGAGTCCCTCGGAGATCTGTTGCACACCCCACCATCTACCATATGGCTGACATTACCAGTCGACAGGTGGCCAATCTGAGGAGCCCAACAATCTGTAAGGTGGCCACCCTCTTTGGGAACACCTGTACATGCTGACAGGGGTGATCTCAGGGACTGGCTCTGGTGGTCTCTCAAGCCTTATGGCAGCTGCAGAACCAAGGGAGGTCTTTTGGGAGGCACGGTTCATGCCGGCCATGGTCCTCACCTGTAGATATGTGGGTGGGGCTGGGGCACACCACCATTCATCTTACCCCTCCTGCCTTTCAATGTGCTCCCAGAAATACTTTCTCTGGGCTAGCATTTTGTCAGGGTAGGTTATTAACAGAGAAGGGCCAGAACAGGGTGGAAACAAGAAGGAGGGGCAGGAATTCACCCCTTCCACATGAAGGAGACCTAGGAGGTTCCAGGGAAGGGCTGAGGTATGAGGGAGTCTGTGTGGAAGCCTGGCTAGTCGTTGGCCTCAGGGTTATCCCAGCATTCCCTCTCCAGCCTGGATGGGGACAGGCTACTCACCTGTGCTGATAGGGGTGCAGAGCCACCACAGGCACTGCCATTCCCAGCTCTGATACAGCCTGTCACTGCCATGCTCCCCTAGCCTCTGCAGGGGACCCTGCCCTCTCACCCCTCCCTGCCATCCCTGGGTGGGACTTTCTCAGTCCAAGCAAGCCTGACCGTGTGGCCACTGGTGCAGAGGCACCATGGCTCACTCGACCTTCTCACTTCCTCCTGGCTCCATGACAGCAAGCAGCCCGGCTCCTCTTTGACCTTTCCCAGAAGCCCAAATAAGCTGCCAGGTCCTTGGGCAACAGCTGCCATTTATCTTGCTGTTTGGATTTGTTTCCTGCAGTGGTTCAGAGCTGGTAAAGTAAATAGCTCTTAGCACCAAGGTTTGCCCAGGCTCCTTGCCCACGGCATGGAGGCAGTGAGGAGCCAGACGTGCACATCTAGGCTGGGAGGCCCCAGCAAAGTCAATGAACCTTTCCTAACACAGGGACCAGGATCCTTGCTTTGCAGGGCTCTGGTGGAGAGTAAATGAACTGTTTGCTAATGGCCTGGCACCAGGAGTCCTGACAGGAAGAACTATTGTGGTTGCTGCATAGGCTGAGCCTAGGCTTGTGAACCAATTGAGGCTTGGCTGTGGTCACCAGGTGGTCAGAGCTCCTGGGCTAGTATTTGTCCCCCACCCCACCCATCTGGCACCTCCATGTTTCTGAAAGCAGAGAGGAGGAGATACGGGAGGCTGTATGGGGAGCCTCTGGGAGACCAGGAGCTGCCCAGAGCATAGGTGCCAGGTGGTGTGCTCCCATGAAGGGGAGGGCACTGAGATGGGATGAGAGTTTCCTGGGACAAAGTCCTCCCCCTTCTTTCACCAACAGCCTTCCCTGAGCAGGGAAGGGACTATGAGGAGTGGGACTGAGTTGGCACTGGCATCTGTTCCCAGAGCCCGGCGGTATACACATGGCTGTCAAACTGAGCCTGGTTGCAGGGCCTCCTGCCCAGGTAATCCCTGGAACCTGACTCCCATGACTCCCAGGTAAGGCCAGGATCCTCCCCCTTGGGACTGTTTCTTTATTCACTGTAGTCTCACCTCCCTCACACACTCTGAGACCCCACATTCTCCTCCTTAGTTTTTCCCCAGAGAGGCTGACAGCAAACACCCACCAGGAGATGGGAGCTCTGGGTCGCCCGGTTTTAGCAGGGATGCAGCTGCTGGCATGTAAAGAGAAGGGGTCTCCGCAGCCAAGGCAGCTTGCATGAGTGGCTTGGCTGCTCACGGTGGGAACATGGGCAGTTTGGTTTTTGTTTTTGAACATGTGACTGCACAGATCATGCTTCCTCTAAATCCTTTTGTCTTTATCCGATTCCTAGCAGCTGACTCTTGGCAGGAGAAGAAAAAAGCAAACCACACTAACACCCAAGCCCCCAAAGCCTTGTTTCTCTTAAAGGTCTGCGCCTTCAGTGACAGTTCATTACTGAACCACTGGGGGAATGCTGAGCACAGGAGCTGCCCTGGGGCCTTTCATCCAAGGCTACTTATCCTCCCTGGCACTGCTGTGAGGTGGCAGGGACCCCATCTTATAGGGGCCGGGGAAGGTAGGTGATCTGCCCAAGCCGTATAGCTGGTAAATAGAGGCAGGACGCAGAGCTGTGTCTCACAGTGACACTCACGTCCTTGTCCTGTCTCCTGGCTGCCACCTCAGGTCAGCCACTGTCTCAGTGGGACCCAACCATCCCCCAAAGATAGCTGGCTTAGATCAACTCGGGAAGAGATAGCTCCTTCCCCATTAGTGCCTCCCATGGGGCTCTGTGCATGGGACAATGGTTGTGTGGGATGGGGTGGGAGTGGGGTCCCCAGAGCCACAAAGATGTGGGTTTAAGTCCCGGCCCCACCCGAGCCATTCACTGAGCCTCTCCCTGTGCTCTAGTTTCCTTATCTGTGAAAGCAGGATACAAATAGTCCCCTCTGGTGGTCAGGAGGCTTCAGCACCCAGCACACAGTAAGCCATGTAGGCGTCTGCTGTCACTATCCACATTGGGCCTGACTGCACTCCACTCCATGCTAAGTAGGGACAGAAAAGGAGTCTAAGGTGTGGGAGTTCACAATCCAGATGTGGAGCAGAACTCCACACAAGGAATGATGACGGAGCCCAGAACACCACGAGGTCAGCATGTGTGCTGTGACAGCCATGCCTGGGGTGGCACAGATGCAGACTACCAGGCTGGGTTGCAGAAAGGATTTGGGTCTTTTCCTGGAGAGAGGGGCTTGTGAGGACTGCCATTGCCGTTTATCCCAGTTACCTCAACTAGATTGGGGATCAGTCACCCGAGAAGGCAGCTGAAAATGCAGATTGTTGGGTCCTGCTGCCTGATGTTCTGATTCTAGGGTGGAGCCAAAAAGCCTGCATGGACAGTGCCCTCCCGCCTCTGTGATTCTGATGCAGTGATTCCTGTGCCCTTTGAGAAAGACTGTTCCTAGGGACACCTAGTCACTGAGAAGTGACCAGTGACATTGTTACTTAACACAGAATTCCCATTCACACCCTGGGGTTCCTACTGGGAGGGCCTTTCACCTGTCCTAGTCCCCTGTGAAATCACTCTACCCTTCCCCAACACTGTCCCCAGATAACTATGTGCTGTCTCCCCTTGTCCTCAGGGCTGTCCTATCAAGACATAATGCCCTCAGAGGACAGCAGCACTCAAAGTTAGCTCAGAGCCTGTACTGTTATCCCTATACCTGGCCCATTGTCCCCCCACCCCCGAACCCCCGGGATCCTCACAGCAATGGGTGGGACAAGCAGCCTTTACACTGAGGCCCAGAGATGTCAGGGACCTGACATCAGTTTCAAGTCAATTAGAAATCCAAGGCAGAGCCCAGATCTGAACTTCTGACTTCTGTCACCACAGCCTCTGTAGCACTGCCCTGCCACCTTCACAGGCTCTGGACACACCCAACTGCCCCCCTTCAAGGAGAGACTGTACCTAAGACTGTAAGCATCTATTCTGTCCTGAGCATGGGCCAGAGAGAACAGTGGACACTCACCCATTGGGATGACACATGCCAAGCAGGCCAGGAGCTGGATGGACCTTTCCATGCTGTGACCATCTGGAGACCCCAGGCCAGCTCCTGCTTGGCCAACTCGCCAACAGAAGCCCCTTTTGGTGTGGGGAGAGATGGAGGGGGGTGGGCAGGGGCCAGGATCTGCAGGCCCCACTGGCTCTGTGGGAGCAGGAGGAACTGGAACAAGCAGCAGGCAGCTGGAGGTATGATTAGGCGAGACCCGTGGAGATTAGTCATGTGGAAGTCAAGAGGGGAACCACTGGGATGATTTTCCAGGACAAAAAGCAGGAAAGCAGATGGGAAAAAACAGGGCTGCTTCCTGCGGCCTCTGTCCCTTGGGGGAAAACTATGGTTCCTGTGCAGCTCACCCTTCCCTTCTCCCGTCTTCCCTTCCTCACTCCCACCCTTCCTTCTTTCCTTCTTTTTTCCTTCCTTTCTTTCCTCCTCCTCCCTCCTCCCTTCCTCCTTTCTTCCCTTCCTCCTCTCCTCCTTTCCGTCCTTCCTTCCTGCATTTTTAGTGTGCCAGAGGGGCTTTCTCTCCTTCCACGCTGTTCTTTCCCCTTCCCACCCCTCTGGAGAAGAGTCTGGCAAGATGGTGGGAAAGACTATGAGAAGGACCTGCCAACATAACACCCCACCGAGTAAGGTTATGGAAAGTTGCAAGAAAAAGACTGAAGCACAAGATTCACTTTCATGACCAGAACCTCTTCCAGAGGGCCTGTGGTCCTAGGACAGCAATTCCAAAACTTTACTGCTCCTAGGGATCTCCTGGGGCCTCTTGTTAAAATATAGATTGATCCAGGTGGTCTGGGGCAGCTGAGTACTTTGCATCTCTGCCAAGTCCCAGGTGATGCCCAGGCTGCTGGTCAGGAGTCAGCAGGAGAGACTTCTGGAGGAACCCCCAGGGGAAGCTTACTAGGTGGGGTCCTGGTGTGTGGTGCAGGACTGAGAGGACTGGCAGCCAGACCCCGTGGGGACTAGAGTGCTGTGGGCACAGTCCCGTAGGTGTGTCTACACACCAGGACTTCCACTTCATCAGTTTGTTTCCAGAGTGGGATTTCTGGGTTAGAGGATACACACATTCTGCATTTCAATTAGTATGATCTGATGTTTAGGCCCCAAATTGGTGGTGGTAGTAGTGATTTACAGTTTCTTCAAGAGCAAATCGGAGCCCCTGTTTCCCCAAGTTAACTCAGAAAAGCCAGGAGACGGAGCTTCACCGGCACTGACCCTAAGTGACTTTGTGATTTGGCCTGGTTGCTCTTTTTCCGGATGTCACTGCATCGTCTGTTTTCCAACGTGCCTCTCAGTTCATCGTCTTGCTCCAAATCGGAATTATGAGGAGAACTGGTCTTTGAGGAATATGCAGCGTTAGTTTGGAAAGCCTTTCTGGGACACTGCGCTGGGGGACTTGGCGGGTTAAAGGGCAGGTCACCACCTCACATGGCAGTGGGAACAACCCCTTCTCTAGGACTCTAGCTGTTCCCTCTGCTAGGAACCCCATATCCAACCCTGGATTCTCTTATCACAATAGGACCTCATTAAGGCCCTATTTGTTAAATGAACACTCTCTCCCTCCCCGGGATCTGATGAGGGTCCGTTTCCGGACCAGAAAGCTCACAGCACGAGCACAGAGGCTCTAGTTTACAATAAGCATCTCCGCGGAAGGATAAATAAGTGGAATAGAAATTGTAGCTGCGGACTAAGCCGGTGACTCCCAAGCTGGGGCTGGGTCTGCAGCGCCCAGTCAAGGATGAACTGGGCATACGTGCAGATGTTTGCTCTTTGGGCAGTTGACCTGGCACCCCAGACCAGCCACATACTTGCCCTATTACCCTCTGCCCTCTTCATTCCTCAGTACTTGGGGGTCCTTGTCTCTCAAAGCCTTATCTTCAACTTAGCCATGAGTCTCCAGGGCCAGACCTGTTTATTCCGCTGCCTACAGACATCTATGCTTGAACACATCCACAAGACCTGTCAGCACATTCCCCCTGCCCACTCTTGTTCCCCAACTTTTGGGTTCCATAATTCAGTAGGTGGAAGTGTCATCCTCCCAGACAAGCACAGCTATGAATGTGGAAGTTCCCCTGACGCTGCCTCCTCCTCACCTCCCACAGCCAGTCCTGTGGTTTTTGTTCCTCCTCCTTCCTCTGGCCATCTCTGGCTTGGCTCAGGCTGTCCCTTGTCACTGGACAGTTCCAATATCTCAGTTACAATCTGCAAGTACAGTGGTTTTTGCAAACATTGAAACTGATCATTTCACTTCCTGCTTAAAACCCTTCCATGACATTTCATCGTTCTCCTCTCCAAGTTCCAACTTGAGGTTGATGCTTGAGGTCTTTAGGTTCAAGAGAGATGCCAGCGGTTGGTCCACAGTCCTATGCCCCTTTCCCCCCACCCCAACCACAGTTCCTGAGTTGTCTTTGCACCTAGGATCTTCCCACCTATTCTCATCTTCTGGGGCAGCTCCTTTTCAACCTTTGACCCTCAGTTCCCAGTATTGTTACTGCGGGAATTTACGTTATGCATCTATTTGTTTTCTTGTTTATTGTGTCTCTCCTCCCCTGAGTTGTAAGTTCCCTGGGCTGGGCACTCACTGCAGCTTGATTCTTAGCACTAGAGCAGTGCTTGGCCACATCACTGGTGCTCAAAGGGTATCGGAAAGAATGCAGGGGTCTCTGCTGCCTGTATGCAGGCACCCCTCCCCCATCACAGAATTGTCTTCTGTTTGCTGGTCTGCTCTTTCCTCTTCCCTGCGCCACCCTCTCCTTTCTGGGCTGTGATTATGGAGGAGAGAACCAGGTTTCTGGTCCTTATCAGAGGACTTTATGCAGACTAGGTCATTGATCAGATGGATAAAATAAAATAATAAAAATAAATAGCAAAATTTTATAATATCCTCAGAAAGACACTTGAGACTCATTCACACTCAGTGTAAATGAATGAGGATCAACTGAAGTGTCACCCCATTCCCTGAGGGGAGTGTTCACAGATGTACATTGGGGTTAAAGAAATGAAGTTTCACGAGTGGAATGCCAAGTGTTATTGAATTGCGAGAAAGGTAACTTAGGGACAAGGGGTCCCCAATCTTCTTGGAAGCTAAAGTCATCTCTCAGATCTTCTGATACAACCTCAACTGCAGTGGCTGTTGGAGTGAAACTTCTAACACGAAAATCTAGTCACCCCCCCTCCCCATCCCAGGTGTCTCCGGAGGTTCTTTAGAGCTTCAGGTTCAAGCTCAGCTTCCTAAATATTGTGTTTAAGCACCTCTGTGTCCATTCCCTACTGTTTCTGCTACCTGGAGTACTCCCACCCCACCCCCTTAAGTCTGTATAATTCCTAGCTTGTTGTTCAAGACTCCTCCCTGTGGCCACCACTCCCAGGAAGCCCTCCTTGGCACCCCAGTCTGATCTGGCTGCTCACCTTCGTGTTCTCCCACAGTCTTCTGTGCACCTTTACCATTAGGTACATCCCCCTGTGCTAGTGTGTGGGCAAATCGTGTGTGAATATCCAGGAAAAGGTAAGGAAGTGTCAGAACATAAAACCAAGATTGCTTCTGGGGAGCCTAAAGGTCCCTCCCAGCCACCTGACATTCTTAACCTGGTTTAATCCTATGAAGGTGAAGCCTCTAACTGGCCTAAGTCAGAGGAACCAGAATTACACACGGCAGGCACGGCAGTGGATGGGCATGTAGTAGCAAGGAGGAATGGCTAACGGCATTTGCACCTCCATTTGAAAGGTGCAGGCTGATTGATAGTACATATGAATTTCTCATTCCTTAACCTCTGCTGATGCCCCCTGCCCCCAGCTGGGTAAAGTGATCCTCCAATTCAGCGGACCACAGGGACAGAGCCAGCTGCAAGCCTTGGGTGGACAGAAAGCCAGGTCTCTGCCTAGAGACTTCCAGAGAGGAGGACATTCCCTGAAATGTGAGATGGAGAACTTGAGTGAGGTCCATGGGACACTAGCTCACCTTACACATAGGCTGGGGAGAGGGACAGACGCTTGGGGTCTCCTAAGTCATTCTCTGTCGGGATCAGGGAAGACACATCCTCTTGCTAGTTCTGAATGAAGATAGTTGTTCTTCTCTATGTTGTTTTTCCATTTCCTTTTCTCTGGAAAGCCCAGTTATTTCCAGCTTCCTGTGCCATTTTTCCTCCTGTACCTCGTCTACACAGAAAAGGCAAGGGCACAGCTTCTGTACCAGACAGGGCTGGAAGTGAGTCCCAGCTTTGCTGCTAGCTACAGTGTAACTTGGAGCAACTATTTCTTTTCTACGTAAAATGCAGATGATAATGACCTTGTAGTATTGCTGCAAGGATAATAGTGTGATCTAACAGAGGGTAATGCCCAGTGCCTGGCTCACAGTCAGAACTCAAATAGTCATCAGAAAGGTGCAGTATAAATCTTTTTAATTTTAGATCCCACATGTGAGGAATACACATGCATTCAGATCCTGATAAAAAAAAAAAGTGAGTTAAAGAGTTAGATGGAAGATAACAGTGGAAAATGGATACCTCTAGAGGTCAACATGATGTCAAGCACTTTAGAAATATTTGGATAACTAATTAACAAACTTCTGTTAATTAAAGTAGGTCCTCTGAGGATCTGAGTAAGTCCTCATTATTTGTTCCAGTTGTTTTAGGAAGAACACAATTGTTTTTTAAAAATGCTATTACAGGCGGTCCCTCAGTTACAAACATCTGACTTATATACAACTCACACTTATGAATGGAGACTCCATCAGGTAATAGGTAAATGTACCTGTTTTAACTTACATACAACGGGTACAGAAGTAGAAGTGGTGGTAGAGGAAAGAGAAGAAGGAAACTAATTTTTATTTTTCTATTCTTCCATACTGTTTGCATTTTTCTATTACCTGCACATATATTTAATTTATGTAATGTGTTGGTCTTCTCTGCATGCTTTTGGCATTTTTTCTTCATCACTGGTTTGATTCGAGTGTGTAGGAAAGCAGTTTTCTTTTGATTTGTTGAATTTCTTAGGTCTATAAATTTGTCTCATGCCAATTTG